TGTTGTGGGAACAACATAATTAATTTGTTCGCACAACTTATTATCTTGAGGGAACAAGATATTGAAAAAAATATAGCAGAAAATAAGTTGTTCCCACAGATTAAAAAAAGATTTTTCTCACAAAATATGTTGTTCCCACAGAATAAAAAAAGATTTTTCTCACAAAATATGTTGTTCCCACAGAATAAAAAAAAGATTTTTCTCACAAAATATGTTGTTCCCACAGAATAAAAAAAGATTTTTCTCACAAAACATGTTGTTCCCACAGATTAAAAAAAAATACTTCGACAAATAAGTTGTTCCCACAGATTATTAAAATAAATCGACTATGTCCTCTCCATGCTTCCGTACTTTACACATATATTGGAAAAAACTTGCTTTAGAAACAGTATTTAAGAAATGTCCATGTACTTATTGACAGTTTTATGACTTTAATAATTAGCAAATCAAAGAAAAAATTATCTTCTTTTACGTCTATATTCTATACCAAAGTCACTAAATACTCGTATATTATCACTTTTAAAACCTGAATCACCGAGTAAACAATATTTTGACGCGTGAAAGAACATTGAATAATACATTGTCATGTTGCTTTACATTGAATTTCGTTCCAGCAAAAAATGTATGCACTATTCTTTCGATTCTCTTTAATAGTGTAAATTGCGTCTAGTATCAGTATTATCATAAATATTGAAAAGTTTGTGCTGAAAATATTTTTAAAATTTTACAAAGAAATGGTCTGTGTATAATAGTTCTACAAAAATTAATTACACATTCTACTCTGATTATTTTAAGACACAACCATCCGGTCGTAACAGTGTTAAGAGCAAGATTGAACATCTGTCGCTATTTATCGTGTTAAATAAATTATATATAATTGACCATATAGTGTTCACCAATCAAACCTTGGTATTGTTTATTTACTGTAGCTGTCTTCATAGAAACAATGCATACAGTTTATTATGCTATTTGTATAGTTTATTTGTATAATGATTTTGAATTTCTATATATTAAACAAAGCAGTAAATAAACAAAATTAGAGGTACATTGCTATGTTGTGTCGTGAATATTGTTGTGTTGTTTCTTCTTTTTCTATTGCTTTTCTTTTAAACACATATATTCATATGACTTTTTTCAATTTGTACAAGAATATAATTATGTTTGAAACAATATTTATCATTATTATTTTTATTATAGAATACCACATTCACAAATCTTTGTTTTAACATCATTTTACATATGTCATCATTTAGAAGTACATGTAAATGAATGACTTGCAAATTTGGATGTATGAATAATACGCTTGGTTAATGGCAATTTTGCGATAAAAATATGAACAGCATGATCGAAATGGCATATGATAATAGCTATCCAGACACAAGAAAGTTTGTACTAAGAATTATTTTTTCTACGCCTAAAAAGTACATCATTCTTTGTTGGAAAATGATGAAATAAAAACACTATGCATTTAACACACATCGTAAAATAGTTATCTAGAACTAGAGTTACAACTACAACCAGAGTTACAATTACAACCAATCTACTGCAATCATTTCTGCGCACAATGAGCGAATCATACGCAGTACAGTCTTTCCTGTCATAAAAAACCCGGAAAATTCATAAACGGTGTACTTTTAAAAACCTGGTGTTTTAAGAGAATAAAAACAATATTTATTGTTACTTGAACGCCAATCTATGATCATTAAGATATCTGTAGTTACGATATGAAAACACAAAATTAGATGCACTTGTCACGTTGCTGTAGGGCTTCATAACATGATCTTAATTTACAAACACACAGAAAAGAAGAAAATTGATAATGCCACTGTTTTCCCAGTAACTATATATACCTTCTTTACAGTGATTTTCATATGAAAATCATTATTTGTTAATTTTTCTTACATTACGATGTTAGTCTACTCAAATATTGTTTGCAAGTATGAACAGCTACTTGTACAGATATACAATGCATTGCGCAAAGCATAGTTTGCTAAAAGCAAATACTTGGAATACCTTTATACATTCACCATTTACAGTGCTTTCAATAATCAAAATTGTGTTTTCCAGTCATAATCAACAATAACATGTCTACAAAATCTATATAATGTGTTTGATAATTTCCTATTACATGTAATAAGAACCCTGGTCAAATACCATAAATCGTTTGATAATTATCAAATGAATGAAGATCAAATGCCACATGTAAATTTTAAATGATGATACCAAGTGTGTTCAAATATGAATGCAACTGGGTAAACTTTGGGTAAATTTTCAAAAGTGCTTAATAAACAATGCTTTTGTTTAATGCATTTTCATAATCTTTTCGATGTATACTGTTCAGACTCTTGAAAATAGCCGAACCGAGTTTTTTTCGCGTGTGACATTTTCTTTCGGCAATGTGTTTTTGAGACTTGGATATAGGAAAAAGTCACAAGGGGCAAGATCTGCAAATAAGGAGGATGAGGAAGCACGACAAACTTTTCCTGTTTCGAATATTCTCGTACAATGGCCGTTTTGTACGACGAAGCATGCAACAACCTGACACCACGGAGACGAGTTGCTTGTCGACGGTTTTTGAAATATTTCTTTAATTTATGAGGGACTTTGCCTTTGTAAAACTTTGCATTTACAGATTTACCATTTGGTACGGCAATTTGAATAGCAGGATTTTGATTGGTAAAGAAAATTACATACATGACCTTTTTGCCGCTCATGGAGCGTTTTGCTATGCAGGTCTTTGACTTCCTTTGGTTGCCCACATTGTCTTATGCATCTTTCACTTGGGCTCATAAAAGTGAACCCACGTTGTATTGCCAGTGATGATTATTGCGAAATATTTTTTGTTAGTTTTATTAAGGGAACTGTTTCAACAATTGTTTGGAGATTCTTACCCGAGGAAGTTTTTGCTCTTTTGTTAGGAGATGAGGTATCCATTTGGCATTTATCCTTTTCATTTTGAAATTACTCTGAGAATTGTATGAGCAACTCCTACAGAGATACTAACGCATTTAGCTATATGTTTAGTTGTAAATCTTGCATTAAAAGCAATCAAATCCTTTACGTTTTCAACTATTTTTGGCGAAGTTGCAGTTTCGGGCGGCGTGCATGAGGTGAATCCTTTACTGAATCCATACCACTTTTAAGTTTCGTACACCACCGTGTGATAGATGAAAAAGAAAGTTCATTTTTTCATGAACACCACATAAGTCATTAAATATGCATTTCGTCTGTATACAAAAAATACAGCGGTTCTTGATATAAGGCCGTATTTGGTCATTAAAAGGAGACCTTTTCCCAGCCATTTTAGCTTTAGTATACACGAGTAGATAGCTTTAATCGAGCTATTGTCAAAGCTAGACTGAACTGATTTACACATGCATTGTATCAATTGAGAGCTTACTAAACAATATGTGCGATATATGTACATAGTTCGTGCAAAACGTGGTTAAAAGCGAGATACTGGCCTAGTTGCATTTATATTTGTACCCCCTTCGTAATTGTCGACATGAAAGGAGAGGTGAAGAAGGAATTTTCGATTTTTCTGTTTTCAATATGTACATTTGGTAGGTAAATTGTGAAAGAAAATATTTTTTTTAAGATATTACATCATCGCTTTAATTCGATAAATCAAAAATCTGTAAAATATATAGAAAGTTCTGGAAATAGTTAATCCCTCGAGTGCATTGAAAACAAAAACAAATTGTTGAAAATTAAATTAAAAGACTTGGTTATTTTAGTCTGTTCATGAGCAGTTTTAGCACCCTAGCACCAACTTACCTACTTATCTGCACGTTATTTGTCGAATCTAGACAGTTAAATTAATTGTAATGATTATCTATATTTAAGTCAAGGCTGCAATAAAATTAGAAAGACACCTGTTAATACCTATCAGTTTATACTGCTGCCTAAAAACTTAATCACAACGTTCCACAATAGTATAAATCACCTGTATGCCAATGGTATAAGATTGATGGAACACATCGCCGTTTGAGTTTTGTGAAGAAAGAAACACAAATAAACTAATCGTACCCTGTAATAAGATATAAAAAGAAAATTTATATAAAGATAAAATCGTTAATTAAACTTAAAATAAGTAACAATTATTGATCACTAACTTGCATTTGCATCTTTTCAGCGAAAAGTTAGAGATTTATGAATGAAGGCTTCCTACAAAATGCGTGAAAAGAGTGAAATAAGTAGAATATTAACCTATTTCGTTCAAATAAGTCGTGACACCAGGTTTAATAAGATTTAAATCAGTTGTAGAGTTAAATATGATTAGATTTTGATATGGTTAAACTTTTCGTAAAATACCTGTATTCATTTGTAGTACTTTTAATTGTAACACTAAATGGATTGAGTTTTGAAAAGTACAGAGATAGAAATGTTAAGGAGCTACCATAAGACTGGACAGCGTAAACAAGGCATACTTTCAAAAACAACTTTGTTATGTAAGAAAACGAAATAATTGTTTGCTGGCTCGTCTAATATTTTCCTGCTTTGTACGCCTCCATTTATATGTATATTTCATTTCTCGATAATATAGAACATTATTTAATAAAATGAATATAATTATTGATATATTAGAATGATCATTCTTAAGAAAATGAATTAAACCACTCATTTAAAATTTTGAATGGAGTGCAAAAAAAAACTACGATGGAAAAAATCAGTGCCCAAAAATTCACAGTCAAATATGTCTTATAATAAAATATATAATATTATATATTTCTTATATTTCCAGTCAGCTTTTGTTTCTCAATTCGCACTGTTCTTGTTTACTAGACAAACATCAATGTATAAATGCGAAACGAAAATTATTCAAAGAAATATTTTCTCAATGAAACTAACTTAATCGATCTAACAAATTCCTCAAGGATTATTTTATATCAGCGATCTATATCGGGTAGTTTGATGGCTATACGTTGTACATCAAACCTTTTTACCGACTGAATCCTATACTATTTCGAAGCATTTTCGTTTTACGGTTAATTACCCAAGCATCTGAATTTCTAACATAAAGTGAGATACTTTGAAATATAAATATAATCAGTCAGAAAGGTGTTAAATACGTTCATAATTTAGTTGGTTATCCTGAATAAATATACTTATTCTTTGATGATTTTAGCAATCATAACGAACTATTCACAACCATACGGATATAATTGTAATTTTGATTATACGGATATTTGTTAATTGAGATTTTCTCAGTTTTAATTGGTTACTACTTCAAATTATTTTTATTTTGTTGATGAACTAAAGTTTAAGAAAAAGAACAGACGTGTTAACATCAAGGAAAACTAAGTCTATCTTATAATTATTGTTTGATTTGAATGCGATGCATACATATGAAATATTTCTTTATTTTTGATTCCTTTTTTAGTAATTTTTGGATAAAAGTGATGCCAACGTTGAATTCAAGTTAAAAATAAGCTTGTAAAGCATATGACAAATAAGATTTTACACCACATTATTCCAATGATAAAACTGGCAATCATCGTAAACACATTTAGTTAACAGTAAATTATATAATAATTATAATTGAAGTCATTAATTCGCCACGGACTGAATTTTAAATTATGTAACATTATTTATGAAATAGTGCGGATTAAATTCATGATTGAAACGTGATTCAGACATCAAACAACTATGGATGTAACCTATGTTTTTATCTATTATAATAGAAGATATTGTTAATGGATTTAGAAATTTACAATATAGTTTTATACATGGACAAGACAGACGCGCCGAATAAGAAGAACGATGTAAATGAAGATACACATGAAAACCGCTACAAAGGTGAGTTATCTGAGAATGTTTGTTATTGAATAACAAATTAATTCTTTTTATATGTAATAGATAACATTTAAATTTTAGATGTATGAACTCAACATTAACGTGTTTTTCACAAGTTGTATGGATCATGGTACAAATTTATAAACTTCTAAAAAAGGTAACTTTGTAAGATAGATAAATCCAGTAAAAAAAACAATTAACAATATTTTTTACATATAATCTTCTTCTTCTGCTTCTTGTGGATAGTGTAGAATGAACTTCTCCATTAGTATAAGAAACTTTCGATGAAATCGAGTTAATGGGAAATTTCGTTGCTTAAAGAGAGTTCACTAAAATATTTTTATATTATATGGCGCGACTAGATTTTTTGCGGCGATTTTTATATGTATACTATTAACTTGTGTGCAAATTTTACGATCCTTTGATCTCTCCGTTTTTTAGGAATAACCATATTTATTCTGAAACGCTTTTAACTCAATTTTATTTAAGAATCGCATTAAATATCGACTTATAATTTCTTTATTAGCTTTTTCATTTTGTTTTTCCGTTGTAAGTGCACTAGCTGATAAAGTAGTTCTACGAAAAATTATATACTTTTACACCGCTTTAAGTTATGAATTAATCGTTCATAGTACTTATTTACTAGCATTACCATCTGATGCTCTTCCTATTGATACTAAACGCGCGTTGGAAACTGCATCAAATTTTAATTTAAGAATCTGCGATACTGAGTTCATCCTAACGCCGTAAATGCGAACAAAAACAAGCATTTACATTTTCACGAAAAAAAAGATTTTAGGATAAGCATTCAAATGACTAAAAAGATCAAATATCATATTTTTACGAAACTTTGCTTCATCACATGCCCCGAGGGTGAACAATGCGTAAATGTTTGGAGGGTTTAACACATCAAATATTCTCTACTTATGTCTCATAGTATAAGTGAACGTATATTGCTTTTGTCAATTAGATAAAATATGCAATGAAAAGCATTTCTACGAAAATGAATCAATGATGTAGTTACCATCAATGAATAAAATATTGATATAATGTTGCATCATAGTATTATTTTTTTATAAAATATGGTTATACAGTGTCTCGCCCTTTCAACTTTTGAAAGAGAACGTCTTTCTCGCAGAAAGGCCTATCTTTTTTCTGAAAATATTATCATGAAACGATACCATATGGTTTAAAATTCATGTTGAGAACTCCATATTTTTCACTTCCGACCATCAATCATAGAAAGTTATTCAATTTTAAAACACAATGCAAATAAAATAATTGAACTAAAAACCATGATTAAAAGAAAAATCCGTTTGGACATCTGCATCGCTCATTCATTTAAAAACATGATTTGAATAAGATAAATGCTACGTACAAAAATTTAGTTTTAAATTGTTATGATAATTTGTACTTTTTGAAATTATGAAAAAATATGTATAGAAATGAATAAAAGCACCGTAAATATCAGTAAACAAGCTTGTCAAATCAGGTTATAATCAAATCAGAAAAAAGTAAGAAGCGTAAATGATCGATACATTAATTATTTCTTAATTGCTTATACTTGTAACTTTCAACAAGCACGTTTTCGAACTTCAAACACTCTCACTACAAATTAACATTTTATCATGTTTGTTGTTTGTAATAACCATAAAACTTAATATCTTAAATCAAAGAATATAATATTCAATGTTATCTGCTAGACAAGCTTTGAAATGAAATATTTCAAACACAATATTGTCTGGAAGCAATCCATATTCCCAGTAAACGACATGATAAAATTATAGTAACATGGTTTGGCTTTGTACAGCCTATAGTAAAGAATACTTTATGTTGTAAACGCTTGGTAAAAGAATAATATGCAATCTTTGAAATTAAATTAATTCCTCTGACTGCAAATTCAAATGTATTTTAGTAATATTTACTTTATTGATAATAAACGTTCACTGAACTACAGCATAAAGCTATTTAAACAGAATATTTTTTAAGCAAACGACGCTTGATCTGCTATAACCTTACATGTGGATTTTGCATGAATGAAGACTAACCAATGTTGTAACACTTGTCCGCTATATGCAGTCATGCAAAGAAACACTTTTTGACAGCAGATGATTCAAATCATTACTGAAAAAAGCATACCCACTTGTTTCTCGGCGTTTCATACTTCCAAATAGTAAAAGAGAAATTCTGCGTAAATCATACCTATTCGTATCTATTGCAGCTATGCTGGGTCTGTCTTTCGATATATTCATATGATCTTCCATGCAACAAAACGTACATTTTAATGTTTTATTTACATTATAATATTAAAATATTACAATATGTAATGAACAAATTATGTATAATGATATAATGAAACTATTTAATAATACACAATATTTTAATGAAAGAGCATTAATTTAAATGATTTATTTCGGATAATTATAGAATAGAATATCACATATACCACATATAAATATCAATGTCATTGTGTGCGTTTTATTGTGTTATTTTCTGAGGCTAACATATTTTTTTAAATACAAATTTTAACAACCAAATTCATTGTTTAACTATTCAATCATAAGCAGTTTAAATTTCATATATTTTCTGTATGATATGGTCAGTTTTGCTTTGGAAAATAAGAAATGCAAATATTGTATCTATTTTCTAAAGAAGAGCAGGCTAACATACATGTAGCTCTTTAATGGTCGCAAAGACAGTAATAATTCAATTCAAAAATAGTTTTTTTTCCACATGAATAATCCGAAGACGCTAGAGCGACTGAAACCTACAGCGATAAAAGGCAGGTGATTTGAAGACACTGACCATTACCTCTTAGCCACGGACGCCCCTTATCTATGCTTATAACCTCTCAGTATTCATTTGCAAGTAAATAAGAATAAAAACTGTTTTGTGTAACACATATATCGCTAATAATTGCACGCACAAAGAAACATCTATTTTACCATCGCAAAGAGATTCAAATCGCATCACCTGAAAAAAAAAAGCATACCCACTTGTTTCCTCGGCGTTCATACTTCCAAATAGTAAAGAGAAATTCTGCGTAAATCATACCTATTCGTATCTATTGCAGCTATGCTGGGTCTGTCTTTCGATATATTCATATGATCTTCCATGCAACAAAACGTACATTTTAATGTTTTATTTACATTATAATATTAAAATATTACAATATGTAATGAACAAATTATGTATAATGATATAATGAAACTATTTAATAATACACAATATTTTAATGAAAGAGCATTAATTTAAATGATTTATTTCGGATAATTATAGAATAGAATATCACATATACCACATATAAATATCAATGTCATTGTGTGCGTTTTATTGTGTTATTTTCTGAGGCTAACATATTTTTTTAAATACAAATTTTAACAACCAAATTCATTGTTTAACTATTCAATCATAAGCAGTTTAAATTTCATATATTTTCTGTATGATATGGTCAGTTTTGCTTTGGAAAATAACTGCAATGTTTTGAAAGTATATGGTATTTTAAAATTCAATCTCCCATTTCTGACTGAAAAAACATTAAAAACAATATATATAATATGCATTAAGTATAACATATATTTTATCAGCTGTACTTTATCAGAGAATCTTATTAACAGATGAAAAACATTAGCACAAACCAACCAACCACCTTTCTTTAACCCTGACTCATAAAACAACTGGTTACAAGAGTGAAATAGGCTTACAAATCGTTTGATACTAAAATTGAATGCTATTTTATGTGATATTAATCAGGTATACAAAATGCTTTAATGGATGGTATCAACTGTTATAGGTTTGTAAATAAATAAGTATCCACATTGTGTTAACATTAAGCATTTGTAACAACAAAAATCAGCTGTAAGGATAACGAAGGATGTAAAGTATTGGCTTTGTTCTTTAAAAAGATTTTTTGGTACAAAATATTCTCAACAGCCGGCTATAAGTACCCACTTAACAAAAAGTTATTATCAATTATATAAATTATTAAAGAATATTTGTCTTATTGTTCTTCTATCTTTTTTTATTTCTTTATCCTGTCACTGCAGAATTTGCTGATTTAAAATCTAACATTTTAATTTGTAAAGATGGTAAGATCGCTCAAGAGCAAAGAAAACACAATAATAATGGTAAAAATTGCAGACTCGATTTGGTGAACACTGTGAGAGCAAACAAAAGGTACATCATTCAATACGCTCCAAGCAACGCAGTATTCAATCGTCAACACAATAAAGTGTTAAAGTGTTAAAATCAATTATAACGTAGAAAATATCGTACAACGCAAAAATACTCTGTATAAAAAAACAAACAGGTGTCAGCTTATGCAAGTTTTAATTCAAGGATAAAATGGTATTTCTGAATGAGGCCGAGGTTGTGTGAATTTGAATGCGCTCAAAATTTCCATATTTTAAGGTAACAGTGTTGGCTATTTTCACGGTTTGAATTTCTTCTACTCTAAAATCATATACAAAGACAAGCTACCACACCACAGATTTATTTAAACGGTGGTTATATTTATCAACTGCATTGATAATCATGAAATCTTTGAAGAACACAAAGCAAATCGTTACCCTTACCAACACAAGGACTGTTTTATGGCAAAATGAGTTTCACTGTGACTATAGTCTTACAAGTCTTATACAACTCAAATGTCAAGGCCGCAGCGAAATAAGAAGGAAACTTAGAAATGCAGATCGATCGTGAGCAATGAAATAAGTAATAGAAAGAGCACCGAAACCCGAGGTTATCTGATTTGTACGAGGGGGCGTAGCCCCCGAGTATTAATCAGATTACCGAGTGTTTTGGTGTTCTTTCTCTTTTGTATCATAGTCAAACATAAAAACACGTTCCCTGTTGTCACAATATGAAACCCCGGCAAAAATGAACCAATGAACGAACATCTGAATATGATTTTTCTGTCGCTTTTCCTTTCTCTGCCGTCACAATATGTAAACCCCAGCAAAAATGAGCCAATCAATGGGCATGCTCTGGAGTGCGGGTAGCTA